AAATGACAGATGTTCTGCAGTTACTTAATGTTGATGCATCCAGGTTAGGCTTCTGAAGTGGTTTTATTAATGACATTTTTAAGGCCTGAGGAAACTTTCCTGATTGTAGAGAAGAGTAAAACGTTTGGAGCTATGCAATCCAAAACACGTTCGAGAAATTGTGAAGGGACAGCATGTGTTGGATCTTAACTTTAAAACAATTTCTTTCAAAGCTGTGTTGTTTGAAACAGTGGTCCCCAACCCTTGGGCTGCGGACCGGTACCGGTGTGTGGGTCATTTGGTACTGGGCTGCACAGAAAGAATAAATAACTTACATTACTTCTGTTTTATTTATTTCAGAATGTGAACAATGTTTTAATTTGAATAATTACCAGATTCTCTGTTACATCCGTCACTCTTGACGCAGTTCAAGGCGTGCTTCTTGGTCACGTGATCGGTTACCCCGAAAATGAAACCCAGGAGCGAGCAAAATGAGGAAATAACAAACGTCTTTGGAAAGTTTCTTTTGGAAGGGGAAAAGGCCCAGCCAGGAGACAGAAGAGGAGTGTACGACGTCCGTCCAAGAAAAAGAAGGCTACATTTAATAGACAGTGTCAGGAGTTCTACTTAAAATACGGATTTCTCTCAATGAGATTCCCACGCACCAAGCCCAATCTGCATAATATGCGGCGATGGTGAGTCGTATTTTTCATGCACTTTGTATTTGTGGTGTATCTTATTTTGAAGGCATGTTTAAATGTTACTATAGCATCCAGAGAGTGTTGCGGCTAGATAGGACGTTTGTCGTGTCATGATTCGTGTTTATTATTATGTTTAGAAAATACCACACTTTTCATGCAGGTCATATCATATGATTTTGTTGTATTCATCCACCACACCTGACAGGCTGTTCCCTGAAAATATTGTCTGACATTAAACCAGTCCGTGGGGCAAAAACGGTTGGGGACCGCTGGTTTAAAAGGTTCAAAATTCACATGCGATCAAGATAGCCCAAGTTACGGGATTTTTACATTGTGGGAGTGGTTTAATTTTTGTCATATTTCATCTGTTAAAAAGGCTGCAAAGTCATTGCATGAATTGCTGATCGACAAAAGTTTCATCAATTACTGAACATTTTCACATTATTTAGTGGCGGCGCGGTGGGCGACTGCTGTGCACGCCCGCCTCACAGTACAGAGGTTCTTGATTCCAGCCTTCCTGTGTGACGTTTGCATGTTCTCCTCGTGCCTGCCTGGGTTTTTTTGTTTCTCCTGGTACTCTGGTACATACATGGTAGGTTGATTGGACGCTAATGTGATTGTGAGGGTGAATGGTTGTTTGTCTATGTGTGCCCTGTGATTGGCTAGCATCCCCACCTGCTGCCCAAAGACAGCTGGGATAGGCTCCAGCACGCCCCGCAACCCTTGCGAGGATAAAGCGGTTCAGATAATGGATGGATGGATAGACATTATTAAGTCATAACATAAGTTAAATATTTTAAGTGACCAATTAATTACAATGAATGAATTTTTTTGAAATATGTCTCATTATAAAATACAGATAGCCATTTTCAGAATGTTGACTCGTGTCTGTAGCAAAATGCGGTGACCAAAATACCGTATTTTCCGCACTATTAGGCGCACCTAAAAGCATCCAATTTCCTCAAAAGTCCACAGTGCGCCTTATAATCCGATGCGCCTTATATGTGTATCAATATTTTGATTTCTTGGATGTAGTAGTTTATATGTTCTGTGAAGCACTTTGTTACAGCTGCAGTGGTTGTGAAAGCTCTATAAAGTATAAATAAAGCTGTATTGTATTCCATTTCCTTTAGTGTAGCTCCATCTAGTGGACGCATAACACAACTGCAGCCACTTTTGTAGCTTGTCTTCTATACGCCTTATAATGTGTGCCATATACCGTATATTAAAGCAATTTTAAAAGAGGCCATTCATTGAAGGTGCGCCTTATCCTCCAAAGTGCCTTATAGTGCAGAAAATACGCTAATAGAAGTGCTTCTCAGTCTAATGCAGCCACAGTGTTTTAATTTGCACAACCTCAAATTCTAATAGGGTCAATCGACAACCTCTCTTCACAAAGGCTACTTTTTCAAGACACAATTCTTGCACTGGATCCCTTTCAATTGTGTAGAGTGGTCCTAATGTTGTTGCAGGTTGGTCTAATAATAGCTTAATTGTGCAGCGACATGGGAGACAAAGAAACGAGGATCTGAGGTCGGAGCAGAAAAAGATGGCATCAGGCTTGAGAGGCAGGATACAAACACCCCTGCGGCAAAAGTGTCGTGAATAGATGATTGAGCATCCTCACCTTACTTACATCACAGCTGTCAACATGTTCACACCAGAGCTGTGACTTTAGCACTACATACGCATGCACGCACGCACGCACGCACACACACACACACACACACACACACACACACACACACACACACACACACACACACACACACACAGTGTAAAATATGTTTCACAATAGCTTAACGGCTTTCAAGCAATCTGCATTAATGTCATCCAGGACCTACACAGTTTCAGCAATAATCCAGTAATTAGGGCACGCATGCTGAGCACTATTAATGGATCAAAGGAACATTTCACTGTCCAATGTCAGCGAGCCCCCATTGCACCAATAGATAAGAGTATTTTTAACAGTCACAATAACAAGTTGGAGAAGCTTTCAGAATTGCACCCTTCTTGGACTCGTAATTTGCATGAGACGTCGGGGATACATGTCTCATGCTTCGAGGAATATTGTTGAGAAATGACATGGCTGTGTCGGCACTCATGGTGCTTTATCTGAAAGCTTCTCAAGGATTAATTTAACATGCTTTGAGACCGAGAAAGAGGACATTTTGTTTCTCTCAAGTTTTTATTGACTTTCACACTTCACAGAACATTACCAAAAGGTACGAGAGTATGTGGACTCTTATCTTACACTTTTTTTTTTTTAACTTCAAAAACAGATTTGTCAAATTCTTTCATTAAGAAAGAAATATCACTGATAATCACAGGATTTCGATGCTGGAGAAAAGGTGTGTGTGTGTGTGTGTGTGTGTGTGTGTGTGTGTGTGTGTGTGTGTGTGTGTGTGTGTGTGTGTGTTGGGGGGTGCGGGGATGCGGGGGACAACTGGCTGGTACTGCACTCCTCAATTTCTAAGAGACACATGCCAAAATAATCATTAGTGTTGTGTTGTTTGAACAGTGGATGAGAGGCAGGTAACAAGCAAGAAAAGCTCACTGTAACAAACACATCCCATACAGTACCTGTCAAAATAATTGGGAGATTGTTTTGCAAAGTAAGATCTGTTCCTCATATCTATTATTCATGTTGCTTGAAAAAAAAAAAAAAACATGAACAAAAAACTTCAAAATTAGCTCAGAGATAAAAAAGAAAACACGCAAATCCTGAAATCACACCGTGAATGCTAATCATAGTGCATCTTTTATCATACTTTTGTGGATCCTTCCTATTGTAAGACGCGCACACAGTGTGAAACAAAACAGGTTGAATGAAGTAACTGAATCAAAGCGGAGAGACACAGTATGAGCTGTTTATCAATAGTGACGATTGAGCATTTTGTGATAATATGTAGCATGTTTATGACAGACTAAGAAGGATTCTTATGATGATGATCCTGATAGAACAACAGAAGATTCCAAAAGCTTTCATCTGTAATCATTTTATTCAGATTGGCAGTACAACTGGAAAATGGAGGAGGCGGGGATGCAAGGTGGCTCAATATTATGCGGCAATCGAATCAAAAAGGTGACCAGGCCCTGCCGGTAAAATTGAATATAAAAGTCACTTAACAAGCAGCCAGTGTCTCCCCAGGCTTTGGCCACAAAAGAGCGAAATGTTTTGGTCTTCTCTTAGTGAACAAATGTTCTGATCAAACTGCTACTATGGCAGTATCCTTGCTCCTCTTGCAAATGCTAGAATTATTGCCATTTAGGAATTCTGACCATTTTATCAGGAGTAACTCCAGCATAACTTTTAATACTTTGGGCCCAGTGACATTATCAAATTCTGGTTCATGGTATGATGTTGCTCCGTTGGAGAGAGATGAGCTAGCCGGTTGGAAATTGGGAAATAGTAATCTTCTTTGCTTTTAAAAATGTGTTGTTTTCACAGTACGCTTAGGGTCATTATTCATGTTCACCGTGTGTTGCTGTGCTATAAGTTTTGTAGCATTTGGCTGAATGTGAGAGGAAAGCCCAACGCTTTTGTTGTCAAATTATCACAATATGCACCATCAGTAATCAAACACACATCATATATTGTAAATACAGGTTATATTTACAATTATCAGTTGTCCAAAAATTGAGACCCTGAAAAGCAACATCCCATGAAATGGCTTTGAATCCTAAATGGCAGATACCGTATTTTTGTGAAACATCTTAAATTACAGTTAATGTTCACATTTCATTCAGAGGAGACCCAGTGGGTGACCGGTTAGCACATCGGCCTCACAGTCCAGAAGTGCAGGGTTCGATTATGGCCCCGGCCTTCCTGTGTGGAGTTTACATGTTCTACGTGTAATTTTCTCCGGGTATTCTGGTTTCCTCCCACATTCCAAAAACATGAGTGACAGGTGAATGGAACAGTCTAAATTGTTCCTAGGTGTGAGTGTGAGCACGGATGGTTGTTTGTCTCTGTGTGCCCTGCGATTGGCTTGCAACCGGTTCAGGGTGTCCCTCGCCTACTGCCCAAAGATGGCTGAGATAGGCTTCAGCACCCCCGCGACTCTTGTGAGGACAAATCGAATCGGAAAATGAATGGATGGATGGGCGTTTCATTCATATATTGAGGGCTTCATTTTGTATCAATTCTGCTGTTGTACAGGTCAAATTATAAAAACCTTGTCACACTGTCCAAATACTTATAATAATAAGTCATAAAATCACATTGATTTGCCGCTTTTCTGGACACTCGACACTCAAACCTCTTCTTTAGCTACTGTGTAGTAAACAGTGGCAAGAGTGTTCATTTACTGCATACCGATGCACTGTATCGTTTGTTTGAAGTGTCAAGGAATGGCGTTCGACACGCTTCTGTCAACTGATTGGTCATTGAATAATCGTTCTTCGCTTCTGTGCTCCGATGGGATCTAATGTGCAACTTCTAGGTTCCAGATTGTGTAGCTTTTATTTATTGGCAAAAAAAAAAAATAAAGAAAGAAAGAAAATTGAAGGATTTATTGAGACATCTATTAGCATGGATCTCAGGATTTATGTACAGTATGGTGACTTTCTTCAATGCCAAACAAACCATTGTTGATTGATTAAAATGTGACATTGCAATAATTCTTGATGTTGATAAGGTATGATAGTGTATGTAGTGATGGAAAAATGAGGCTTCATATTTTCTTCACAAACCAGTTGTATTTTTTTCACTCATGTAGATGGCGCTGTTGGTTTAAAGAAAGGGGTTTAAGAAATGGCAAGTCAATGTGTATTCAGCCCTTTGTTGAAAAGAGAGTGCCATCTCAAGGACTCGATAAAGTGGTTCATGAAGCATTTTGAAGCCTCATTTTCCCATCAGTAATGATATGTAAAAATATGTAACACAAAAACCCATATATGGGAAGACAAAGCTAAGAGAAACGAACTCTGTTCATCGTGAGATTTCAATGTTGCATTTTAGGTCAAATCTTTTTGAACAAAACAAGAAAGAATTCTGGTAAAATATCCATGAGAAAAAGATACAAATTAGGCTTTAGTAAGCCATCACTCAAGTTGGCTCAAGTTTGTGAATGGTCAGTGCTGAGTTATCATTGACATGCAAAAAACAAACCAACAAACAAAAAACAGATTGTATTTTGAGCATATATTTAGTAATAATTCCACCCACACATGAAAGAAATCACAGCATTCAACAAAATGCCAGTGTCAAGTCTTTTAGGAACAATTACATGAACGCATAAAATACAAGAAGCGTAAAAACTCTAAGGCACTTAGATTTATGTTTTAACATTGCCAATGCTTAAGATTGTTGTCTCTATAATGTAAAGAAGACACAATAGTGTCTCTGTTGGAGGTTGAAGAAACAGAATACTGTACATCATTTCATGTAACCAAAAAAAAAAAAAAGTCAAGTTTTGGAATGCTACGTAGTATTCAGAACACAGTCATAAACAGACACTCTTGTTTAGGGTTCTGAAATAAGACAATTGCACCAATGCAAGGCTTCATTTGATACCTTTGTACTGTTATGGAGAACAAAAAGAGTCTTGGAGACAATGCAAGACTGAATTTTAAATTCCTTCAAATTTAAACAAACGTCACGCTACCAAATGCATGGTCAGTCTCCTCTTTCTTTCATCGTGAAATATCAGTTAGCTTGGCATCACCAGTAAAGTACTACGAAAGAAGTTGTCATGTCTGCGTTTATAGTCTCCAAGACTTGTATGGAACCCAGTTGTCATTGTCTGTGACCCAGACGCTGCCGACAGTGACGCTTGTGAAGTTCTTCAGGATCAGAATCCCACTCACTAGGTGGGATGCCGCAGGCCTCCTCTTCTAGCTCAACCTCCTCCTGGTCTTCCACGCGATCTGACAGGCAGTTATCTGCTTGTGTGCCGCTGTGAGCGGGACTTTGCATGGTTCTTGTCCGAATGGTTCTTGTCCGACTTGTCTGCCTTGACGTCACTCTAAGCCAGTCGGTAGAAGGTCCCGCATGTCTCCTTTCTCCAACCTCTTCCTCCTCCTCTTCCTCTTCCTCAATTTCATCCTCTTCCTCTTCTTCTTCTTCATCCTCATCATCAGGCCCTTCTATGACAGTCAGACCTAACTTAGGATGGCTAGCTATTTGAAAAGAGGACGAGTGCGGCGTGGGCAATTCTGTATCGTACATGGAGAAAGGGAGATGAAGGTAGTGTCCTGCAGCTGCCGCTGCAGCATAGATGCAGCAACATGTCTGGGCGCAGTCATCCCCGAGGTCCCCTTGTCCTGCACGGACAATTCGGAACCGCTTACGAAAGGGTGGTCCGACTTGGGGTGCTAAGCACATCTGTGTGGGTACGGACCTGTTGAGTCCCTGTTGTGTGGAGTTCAAGGTTGGGGGTAAGAAACCGGTAAAAACTGGGTTGGGAGAGAAGCACCATTCAGTGCTCTGGAGCAGAATGTCAGTTCGTAAACGCCGGAGGAGGTTGTTAACAAGAACGGAGCGTCGCAGGAAAACCTCAGGGTCATCAATGAACCGCATTTTCTCCAGCGAGAGACGCAGAACGTGGGCCCGTTCCTCCAAAACCGGGGCCACCTGAGGGACAGTTGGCAATCAGGGAAAGATCATTAGTTTAAAAAAAAAAAAAAAAAAAAGAATTTGAAACAGTCACACAAAATTAAATGCTTTAGTTGTTCACTTGATAGTTTTACATCACAGAAGGGCAATTGGTGGCTCAAGGGCCATCACACTCTGCGTATCCCCTTGATTAATTTTCCATGCAAAAAAAAGAAGAAAGGTTTTAATTTTTTTTATTTTTTCACAAACCCAAAAATAATTTCGAAAACACTGATAAACATTCAAATTATGTAGAAACCCCAAAAAATCTTGAAAAGAAAAAAAAACAACATACGACGGCTTTTGAAATATCACAAATCGCCACTACAACACTCTTAAATTGTCCCTAGGTATGAGTGTGAGCGCGAGTGGTTGTTCGTCTCTGTGTCCCCTGCGATGGGCTGGCAACCGGTTCAGGGTGTCCCCCGCTTATTGCCCGAAGACAGCTGGGATAGGCTCCAGCACGCCCCGCGACCCTTATGAAGATAAAGCGGATCGGAAAATGGATGGATGGATGCATATGATGAAGTCCTTAATCTCCTGAAGTGCGAGTGGCATCTCACTTCCGACCCCAATGAAATACCCTCGGTATGTGGTTAAAGGAATTGATTTATATCACCCTTAATCACAGAAAAGGCTCAAAGGGCTTCACATTCCCACAGCTGCCAAATATTAACAACATGCACGGGAGGGCAACAAAACCCTCAAAACAACTCAACCCATCAGGGGAAAATAAGAAACGTGTGAAGGGGCCACAGGATGGGGGAATCCCCCTTGACCCAACATTCAAGCTTGTATGTCCATTCTGCCTGAAATCTGAAATGTTCCTTTTCTCCTTTCCTCTTTCATCTTGACACACCACAGCCACATTCACCACAAAGCACATAAAGAGCTACATTTAGCTCGGTCCACGACAGCATAACTACTCTCAAAGCGCATTTGCAAAGCACGCTGAGGAAGTGTGCAGCCGCACCGTCGCTGCAATATGAACATTGACACCGCTGTAAACGCAGAATTGTATGTCAACGTCGGTTGCCACACTGGATGTGGAAAAGTTGAACAATCGCTCGAGATGCCACGTTCATTTGCTATTTAGCGATGTAGCAAAAGAACACATGATCGGGGGTGGAATGCGATCTTCAAGTGCCCACTTCAAATTTATATTAGGCCAAACAAAAAAAGATATGTTTCCGGTAACATGAAATTTCAGCATAGGGTTGGTAGGTCGGACAAAGTTTTTTTTTTAAATCTTTTTTTTTTTTTCCCCCTTCAAAAATGTAAACAAAATAACCATGAAACATAAAACAAGAAGACATTGAACCTGCCGTTCCGCGGCCGGCGCTGCCGCCACCGATTTAGTTTTCTCCCCGCTCCGGACTCGGGAGACCAGTGCGCGCCGCCGCCTCCGCCGCCGTCCTCTTCCACCCTCGGTTTTTACTCGGCCCGTGGTGTTCATCAAATAGTTCGCTGAATTTTTTCGATACATCAATGGATGCTATTTTCTTAACATTATGGTGCAAGCACGCGACTGTAACACAGAAAACGCGATTTAAACTGTCGTCGGAGATCGCGGCCGCCGCCATGTTTCAATGTTGTTGACAGACGACAGGGCAAACGACGCTCGCGCTCAACGTGAATATCGCGAGAGTTTGCACCGATGTAAACCCTCTACACAAAAATGTAGAGGGTTGTTTGAAAAAAATGCAGACCGTAAAGTTTTTTTTCGACGTAGAAATTCTCGGTCCGTCGGGTTACCGGAAACATACTACTTTTTTTTCTATGCCTTATCCGCAAGTGGAGAACTTCTTGCAGTTCCTTGTGAACATAAGTTTGCATGAGTCTATCACCTGCATGGTCTCCAGCGAATCCATTAATGCTTCCGCCATGTAGACCAAGCGCAGAATTTAAAAGGAATGAAAAGGAGCCGCTTACATTGGCTGGGAAGCAAGTCAGCTGTGTTAACTCCCACAACGGCGCAAAACACCAGTTTCTAACTGTGCGTGTCTACGAAAATACCGGAAAAAAACTAAACAAAACAACCGCCCCCCCACCCCCAAAACAAAAGAATACTCCATCCATGCCCACATTGAGACCGTGCTCTGCATTACACTTGCACTGGGCATGGAAATCATGCCCTCTATGTTGTTTTGATAACTGAATCAATCACGAAAGTCAAAAATATCATCCAATACTTACAGTTTGGCAGTATGTCCTGAAACTGAATGAAGCTTCATCATCATCAACAAACTTCCTCTTGAAGTATGCAATTCTTGACATTGACACATGGTCAGGAAGTCGTCGAAATGGAGGCTCTGGAAAGAAAAAAACAGAATTGTTTCGAGAATCATGACATACTTGTAGAAATGTAGTCAGTTTATATGTTGACGGTGAAGTGTAAATAAGTTTAATCAACAGACACTGGACATGCCAAGGGAATTAGGACACAACAGTGGCTGATTGCATCATCAATAGGATAATTGATTCCAAAACGAGTTTGTGACTTGAGTGTAGCACGAAACTATTAATTTTCTTTGTCATTCAAAATTCAAAGAGTGACTTGGGTTAAAAAGCAAAACAAAACCACATTTGGATCTTTTCATTGACAAAAAGCAAACATCATAAATCATTCTCATCGGGACAAGTTGGCATGTCAACGGTGAAGTTAAAAAAGGGACAATATAAACAAACAGCAGTTGATGTGTTTACCCGGTTTCAATCTGTGTTCCGTGTGGCCTGGCGAGGTGGTGTTTGACAGGCAGGTCTTACTGCAGCGCTCCGTTTTCCAGATCGGTTGGTAAGTTGGGAGGGGAGTTTCTCCCTCTGGCTCAAAGAAAGGATTCATGGACAAGACGAGGGTCATCTCTTTTACTGATTTGGATCTAGAAAGACAGTAACATGTCATCAGTTGTCAAGCTGATACCAACCATGTTAATTGAACAAAGTTGAGCAGTCCATTCTTTCATGTGATGATGTTTTAGAATGACAGAACTACACACGCACACACACACACACACACACACACACACACACACACACACACACACACACACACACACACACACAAACAGTCACATATGCTAACACACATACAAGCACACACAATTCTAATTCAGGTTTAATTTTCTGCATTCCCTGGCATATGTTATGCATGTAGACTATGCAAAAAAACAAACAAAAAAAAAACAACAACAACAAAAAAAAAAACTCACCTCGGGCTGCCACGAACAATTATTTTGCTAGATGACTAGCAATTGCAATTAGTCGACTAATCGGATCATTTCTATATCGCACCAGCAAGTGGCTGCTCCTACTTTGTATGTAACCATGATTAGCTTACTGCCTGAATATTTTAAAGTCCATACAAACTGAAAAAGACAATTAAGATGATAGTACAGTCAACTTTGGAGCTTGTACCAACATTCCTGACACGTTTAGAAATGAGGGTGCAACTAAAACTGAAGGTGATAAAGGGGGTCTTCATATTTTTAACAGTAAATGTTCAGTTTATTTTAAAATGGAACCAAAAACTACTGTGTACACTACGCACACTTGCAAGTTAACCAAGTTAAAATGATGGTAAACTCAATTGAAGTAGAAAGAGCGTATGAAACCAAGTTTCCCGGATTAGTAATAGATTCAAAACTATGTTGGAAAACACATTTAGATAACATAAAAAGAAAAATATCCAAAACCATAGGGAGCCTCTACAAAACCAAGGATATGCTGAATAAGAGATCTTTATCACACATTATACTCTTCATTATCACTACCATATATGACCAACTGTGTGGAAATATGGGGAAACACCTGTAAAACAAACACACTCCCCGTTTTAAAACTACAAAAAAATTATCAATAGATCTAAATATACAGAACCCACTACCAAATTAAACACAATGAAATTTTATGACCTGGTTGACTTCAAAAATTGCTCAGTTAATGTAAAAAGCACACAATAACCTGCTCTGACACTGCCAAAACATCCTGAAGTTTTTCGAAATTCGAGAAAGCTGCTATGATTTAAGGGGGACCAATCTATACAAAAAAATCCAAAACAAGAACTAACACCAAGCAAAGGAGTGTATCTGTAATCGGTGTTAATCTGTGGAATAATTTGGAAACGGACCCGAAAATGAGTAATTCGCTTTTGCTGAGTTCAAAAACAAATTCAAGAGAATAGTACAAAAAAAACTACCGGTACATCAATCGGAGTTGAGGTGTCATTTCGAAACATTCATTAACTATAATAATAAAAAAGAATTAAGTTGATAAATGTAGTAATGTACTGCAATATCCATTATGAATACAAGAGAAAATCGACATATAGTGCGTGTATGTATATAATCCCTATACAAACCAAAAATTGTAAAAATAGATAAGTAAATCACAGATAAGGGTAAAAGCATTTGTTTTTAATGCAGACTTTTCCTTTTCTTTTCTGAGTGATATAAAAAATGATCTATTTATATACTAATACATAACATGGGGTAGGACTAGATAAGTTTTTTACTTCTTCCTCCTCCTTTGAATATATAATTGTGTTGTATGATGACTATTTTCTTTTCCTTTTTTACTTTCTGTCAATTTATTACTGTATATGTTTTTACATTCAATAAACAAAAAACAAACAAGCACTATGAGTATGTAAATTATGAGAATAAATTAGTATTTATTCTCATAAAAAATAGATTTGCGAAAAATAGTATTTCCCTCATCTCAGGTATCAAGCATTTTTTTTCAATGTATAGGACAGCCAAATGAGTAAAATTAGGAAAAAGCAATGTGATAATGAAAATTAAAACAAACACTTGTCTTGGTTTTTATGTTTTGATGTACCCTTTATTCATTCAAAACGTTTTGCTTTGCTTCACAAAGGGGCGAGGTGTGAGCCATCCCACGCGATGCTGGGAAGTTTTGAAATTTTTCAGTTTAATTTGCCTCCAGGGCGAAAAATGCTGCACTTTGAGCGGCCACTTCGGTGAGGTGCGGGCCTCACGGAGCTCTGTGTGACTTTATTTGCCCACGTATGCCTCCAGGACGACTGACTCCCTGAGCTGGGTAACGCATTGCTTGTCTCAAATATTAAGCCTTGTACATCCAAGTACACAGGGCCCATAAACTTGTAACCTTCCGAACATGTGTTTGACTGCAAGAACTCACCATTGTAGTTCTCCCCATCTGCATGATAGTTATTTTGATGATTAACCTGCCCATCTTACACGTGTATCTCATCATGTCCTTGTCATAAAAGTGAGATGTGAATTGTGAGCTGTGAATTCACTTGACTGGAAAGTTATAAATACTTCGCCTGCCTCCAGTTTCCTGCCGAGGGCCAGTCACGTGATGTCAGGAGCTCTATTGGTGGAATGTGGGAGGCAACCATCCATCCATGCATTTTCTGATCCGCTTTATCCTCACATTGGTCGTGGGGCGTGCTTTAGCCGATCCCAGCCGACTTCGGGCAGTAGGCGGGGGACACCCTGAACCGATTGCCAGCCAATCGCAGGTCATAACAGAGACGAACAACAATCAATGCTCACACTCACACCTAGGGACAATTTTGAGTGTTCAATGAGCCTGCCATGCATGTTTTTGGAATGTGGGAGGCAGCTGGAGCACCCGAAGAAAACCCACGCAGGCATGCATGGGGATAACATGCAAACTCCACACAGGAAGGCCGGAGCTGGAATCGAACCCGGTACCTCTGCACTGTGAGGTCGACGCGCTAACCACCGGACCACCGGGCCGCCTGGGAGGCAACCATTTGTTTTTTTAAAGTAGTGAGTATCGTTGTGGGAGTACATTCTAAGCATGCTTTTTATACACACTATGGCAGGGGTCGGCAACCCAAAATGTTGAAAGAGCCATATAGGACAAAAAAA